GAAATTTAGAAAATATTTAAGTTTTAAAATAATTAAACAGATAAATACTTAGGTTAAGATCTGCACTTTATGCACAATAAGTATTTTATATTTATTATTTATTTTATATTTTTCTGCATATTATAAATAATAAAATAATAAATATATATATATTAAATAACTAAGAAATCAATTACTATTATGTAACAAATTGGCGTATACATATAAATTTAACTATTACTCTTGTTTATTCACAATTAGGATAAATAAATCAAAATAATCAATCTTATATATTGTATATGATATATAATTAAATTTAAATGATATAATCATAGTAATATAGCACACTTTTAATATGGATATTTATTAAATGAGGTTTCCACTCATATGATTTTATGATTATTTGCATATTTGTGTAACAAAACTTTACACCAATGATTTATAAATTACGTTATGATTATTTGAATTTAAGTATTTTTCATTTTACATATACACTTCCATAAATTAAAAGGAATGAAGTTATTATAGTTAATATATGCAAATCGTTATCAAATCGTATATTTTCCTTTTCTTCCATTACATGCGTGCGATATATATAAATATATAAACGATGTTACATGCGTTATATGCGTCTCTAATTATTTTTTCCTAGCAAATTTCAATTGAACCTAAAGCCGCCACGTCAGTTTAATTGATATGCTAATTGATTGACAACTAAGCAAGGTTACTTTTTAATTAATACAAACTTGAGGTTACATCTTTTCAAATGTTTCTCAATTAATATATAGGGGATTACAGAAAAGCATCCACTGAAATACAATAAATTTTCTTTATAATTTTTTGAAAGTTTATAAAATATTATTATTTGATGTTTGCATTAACGAACTGATCAAATGCGTTTAGAGAACGTCTACTTTTTCTCTTGCTTTTTCAATTATTGATTTGTTTAATTTTGTGTATTATTCTTGCTTTATGTGTTGGAAGCGAGACCAAAAGATAAAAAGATAAGTTTCTAGAAAATAGGCATTAAGCATTCTGAGCTGGAAGGAGGCAAGCAAAATGACTGCCGTTAAAACAAAAATATAACAAGGACATATATGAAAAAAAATTGTCACAAGTTACCAAGAAAATACTAAAAATTTGTGTTTGTGATGGTCAAAACGCCACTATAATATGATATATGGAATATACTCATTTAAGGTACTTATACTAATTTTCCCGAATTAGTTTCCAGTAATGATATATTTTGTTTTGATGTCTTTCACTTTATGGCCAACCCACTAACAGAAAACATAAATTTGTAAATACAACGCAGAGGAAGAGACCAAATCAATTAGCGGCAATAATGCGAATCAATTAATAACACAACACCATCAAAAATCAATAATATTTGTATTTTGCAATTAAAGAAAACAAAAAGGTTGTGTGACTGTGTGTTTCCAGAAGAACATGATATCAATCGCCATAAACAATAAGAAGACAAAACGAACCAGCAACGCTTAAAGGCCTCTCCTTTCCTCAAAAAATCTCCCCCATAAATAAATTAATCTTCCAATACAGAGAAACAAACCCATCGATTCTTCTGGAAATAAAAAGGTATGAACTTTCTATCAATATATCGATTTCTCTTTAGTAGTTCTGACAATGGTGCATATGTGGGATATGTGTAACGTTTTCTCTCGGATGTTTTTTGCTTTAAATGAAAAGACATTTAGTTCTGATTGAATCTGAATCCTCCTGGGGTGGATGATTTGGTGTGGTTTAGGGAGAATATTCAGTTTTTGTGGGGTCTTTCTGTATTAATTACATTATTGACAGAATCTCTGGTCTCTTGTAGTTTTGAAACCATTTTCCTATTCATCTTCATACTCTTGTTTTCTACTTGTCACAATTAAAAAGACACAACCTTTCAATACTTAAGGACTAGTTTTGTTTTTTTTTTGGGTTCTTAAACAGGTGTTTTTTCAGCTGTTGTGAAAGATGATGTTTCTCCACAGCAGTGTTAGACATGGTTTGTCATTGTCTCTTGGTGTCATCAGTGTTATCAGTTGGGGTGTAGCTGAGGTACCACAGATTATGACTAACTACTTTGAGAAATCCACTGAAGGTCTCTCTCTTGCCTTTTTAACAACCTGGATCATTGGGTAAGCATGACAAGTCTTGTTCTTTTGCTTTTTTTTTTACTTACATGGTCCTTTATCTTTAGTGATTTGAATTTCTCTGTTGTGTAGAGATATCTTTAATCTCCTTGGCTGCTTGATGGAACCAGCTACTGTAAGTGAATCTTCAGAACACCCAATCTTGTTAATTTACTTTGAGAGAGTAGCTTATAGCTAACTTTAATTTTACAAATCCCTTTTGCAGCTTCCAACACAATTCTACATGGCACTGGTAAATTAAAAAAAGATGCTGTAGCAGCTGTGTTATTACAATGTTTGTTTGCTTCTTAGCTTGATTTGTTTGATATGTTTGCAGTTGTATACAGTGACTACATTAGTTCTCTTTGTTCAATCTATATATTACGGCCATATCTACCCAGGCTTGAAAAACAGAAGAAACCAAATGGTATATTATTTCATTAAGCTTCTTTCTTGTTTTCAAGACTTAGTTATGTGTAGACACTAGTAATGTATTGTTTGGTGTAGGTTGAAGCAGAACGGATAGCAAACATATGCAGTGATCCGAAAATTCCAAGTAGATGGAGGAATAGCTGCTCTGATGCTACTCCTTGTGGCGTTCAAACCACACCTATCACTATGATTCCTGGGAGTCACCGGACTAGTTTTACCGGAAGAGAACTATTCTACACGTAATGCTGACAAATTTAGATTCACTATCATTGTGTTTGTAAGAAAGAAAAATCGTTTGAAGTTGCTGTTTTTGATTATGTCAGGTCGGCAAGATCTTTGTCGAGTAGTCATACACCACCAGCTGGTTCTGTCTTAGCTCAAAGAATGGCTCGTGGTCAAAGTGAACCATTTCTTGAAGAGCCTTTGCTTCCTGAGGATGCCACTCCTCCTTCAATGCCTCCTTCCACCAAATCACTGCTATGTGTGGTTAGAGCCTTTGTTCACAATGCTTGGTTTTGATTTCTCAATTCTAAGTGGTTTCATTCTTGAACTTTTTCTTTGTAAATTAGGTCTCAGTATTCATGTTTCTTGGAACGTTCAACCTCTCTAGTCTGCTTAGTGAACCAAGAACTATGGCTTTAGGAGAGAGTGATCGAGTATTTGTGGTTCGAGCAGCAAGAAAGCTTTTGCAGGTACTCAAAACTAGCACATTAATTTTTTGGTGACTCTTTCTGAATCTATAAGTTGTTCTGTTTTCAGGTCACTAGTGGCAACTTAGCAGAACATAGCAGTGGAGAAAACAGCAAGATTGGAATGTGGATGGGTTGGGCAATGGCAGTGATTTATATGGGTGGAAGGCTTCCTCAAATATGTCTCAACATGAGGAGAGGACATGTGGAAGGATTGAATCCATTGATGTTCTTCTTTGCATTAGTTGGCAATATGACTTATGTAGGAAGGTAAATATCAATAGAATCTTTACTTGCTTAGAGTTTAAAGAATCTCTGGTGGCGCTTCATGAGCTTTCTTGTTTTTTTGTTGCAGTATCCTTGTGGCCAGCACTGAATGGTCAAAGATTGCACCGAATCTACCATGGCTTGTGGATGCAGGAGGATGTGTTGTGCTCGATTTTCTTGTATACAATCTCTCTCTCTGTCTCTCATCACTTTCATGGTCTTTGATTTCTTTCTTTTCCACTGAGTTCTAACTTTGAATCTTTGTCTCAGATTCTGCTTCAGTTCTTCCACTTCCGTTGTCGCAAAGATACAGATTCTGAAAAGAAGTATGAAACCGCAGAAGCTGTCTAAGGCTTGGCTACTCCCAAACATGGATGCCTTGAGAACAGATACAGTTTTGATTCTGATCTGACCAGCAAGATTCATCTCATTCCATTTATATATTCTTTCTTAAAAAACACGGTGTTACAGTTTCAAAAATTTTGTGCTGATAAAACTACTACTGTCTTCTGAGTTTTAATAAAGTTGTAGGTGTTTATGATTTTGAATCTACTCCTGATGTGAAGCATCTATACAGGAGACTAGTCTCAACAAAGAAATTAATGTTGAAAAAATTGCTAGGCGGTGATTAACCTCTTAGTAGAAGACTAGCTATTAGGTGGATTATTCAGAATCTATGTATGGTTTTGTTAATGAATTTTTGATTTATTTTTATATATTTTAGGTTTACTTATAAAATTAATTATAAAAATTAGATATACAAAAAAAAAATAGAGAATTTGTAGATTTGAACTAATATTATAAGTTGATTAAATAGATTTACACCAACTTAAACTGATTTAAATATATTAATTTAAGTTATTTTCAACCGACCTAAAACGGTTTAAACTGATTTGTTTTGATTTTTATCAATTTTTACAACATTGTTAAAAAGTCAAAAATGCATGAAGAGAAGTAGCTAGTTTTGTGAAACATATCTATAAAATTTATAATTTGATTCTGACAGCACAAGTCATTTACAAAGTACAAAAGAAAAACGGTTAGAAACAGAAAATGGCGCGTGCGGGGAGAACGGAAGTATCAAAAGTTAGGGTTTTTTGTTAGGTTACGAGATATTAGGAGTGACGTAGCTGCCAAGAATGCTATGTTAAGGATGTTCCAGAGAATGAATGTTGTTGTTGTTGACGAACTTCCAATGGCTGAGGACAAAGCTTTTTTAGAAGGAAGAGAGAGAGAGAAAAACCATTTTCAAAACAAACCTTAATTAGAAACAAAGGGAGAGAGAGAGTTTGGTCTAGAGGAGGAGGAGGAGAGAAGCCAAACTACCGGCGGCAGCGACTTGAAATCTCCGGTGGTTTCTTTCGCTGGCCGCGACAACAAACAGACATTGAAGACAATGGTGTTTATGTTTTGACCGCTTGGTCTTTGAGTCTGAGGCTTTGAGGTAGAAGAAGAATGGGGAGGAAGAAAAGCAGTCATGTCCATAATGCTCCTTGTGACGACGAAACAATGTATTCTCAAGAATCTAAACCCAAGAGGATCTACCAACTCTGGCCTGGTAACAATGTATGTTTGCCTTTCCTATTCAAGCTCTTAAATTTTTTTTTTCTATTGTTTCTTGCAAGCCACGGATTATCCTCTGTATTGGAAGTTGAGATTTTGTGAATTAGGGTTCATTTTCATTTTCCTAATCTGTTAATGGTATTTTCTAGTATACATCTATTAAACATGAGGTTTAAGACATTTGATATGGTTTGGTCTTTAGCATAAATTCTATCCAATATCATTTACTTGCTTCACAAGCATGACATAAAATTTGTTCATGTCTAAACTGCAGCTTTGTGTGTTTCATGTTTTAGAAATTTTACTGTGGAGGGAGACTAGTCTTTGGTCCAGATGCATCTTCACTTCTTCTGACCACAGTTATGATTGGAGCTCCTGCTGTCACATTCTCAATTCGAATGGCTTTTATGATCGGCAAGCGCTATCCTTTGTTCCACACTCTTGTCTTGATGGGTTCCATTTTGCTCACTGTCTTGGTACTGATAAACCCTAACTCTCACTTTCCTTGTAACCTATGTTGCATCTCTTTACTTTCTTTTCTTCACAGGACTTCACGTTTCTCTTCTTGACTTCTTCGAGAGACCCAGGGATCATCCCAAGGAACAAAGACGCACCTGAAGGAGAAGGGCTTGATAAGATCAGTCAATCCTCAGAGTGGGTAAACAACAAGCTCGGTAACACAAAGTTACCTCGTACCAAAGATATATTGGTGAATGGTTATACTGTTAAAGTTAAGTTCTGTGATACTTGTTTGCTTTACCGTCCTCCTCGCGCCTCTCACTGCTCCATCTGCAATAACTGTGTCCAAAGATTTGATCATCACTGTCCCTGGGTGGGCCAATGCATCGCTTTAGTAAGTTTTGTCATAATCTCTGGAAACAAAAAGTTTTAAAAAAGTATAATATGTGATCTAACATGTTGTGTTGTCTTTGTAGAGAAACTATCCGTACTTCATATGTTTCATATCAACATCAACACTACTCTGCTTGTACGTCTTTATCTTCTCATGGGTCAGCATACTTGAGGCACACGGAAAGATGTTGTTAATGGTCATCACAGACGATGCAATCTTTATTGTTCTCATTGTCTACTGCTTTGTCGTTGTCTGGTTTGTTGGTGGACTCACTGTGTTTCACCTCTATCTTATCTGCACCAATCAGGCAAGATCCTTAAGAAACTCTTGTCTGATATGTTTTTTTTTGTGCATTTTACTTGCAATGTACTGGTTCTGATGATCTGTTTTTGCAGACAACTTATGAGAATTTCAGGTACCGATATGACAAGAAAGAGAATCCTTATGGAAAGGGTCTCTTCAAGAACCTGTATGAGTTGTTCTTTGCTAAAATCCCACCTCCAATGATAAACTTCAGAGACTGGGCTCCAGAGGAACCTGATGTGGAGGTTGGTTCCATTGCATCTGAGCTAGACAGAGCCTTTGGACCCCGGGGAGATAATAAACATGATATGGACATGGAAGTTGGTGTGTGGAAAACTAGCAAGGGCGGCTTGCTTCTCCAGACACTTGAGTATGACAACAACAAAATTGAAGAGACTGTTAAGAAGAAAGGCTTAAGTGATGTAACCGCAGAGACCAACACAGCGTTTGATGTGAGGTCGAGATAAAGACACAGAGAGATCTGTTGTGGAATCTTTGCGCCTGTAAAAACAAAATCCTTGATTACTTGTGTAAACTACTTTCTTACTTCTAAAGCCAAACACTTTTGTCTTCAACGAGTAAACTTTTCTGTTCAGAGAAAAGGATAGGAGAAGGCTCAAATGATTGCATGGTCATTTCTTGCGTTGCAAGGTACTCCCTCTCTTACAAGATGCATCATATCATAAAACGATTTACGAACCAATACATGTTAAAATAAAAATACTGACGAATAGAGAGCATACAAGAATCATTACAATGAAATAATAGAGAATCACTTTCAAGATAATAATAATAACAATACTGAAGAAAAGGAACAGAAGCGAAGGCAAACCACAGAATCTAATCCATTCCAAAGATTCTATACAAGAACAGAACATGGTCCCAAAACCGTATGATACGTCTCATCGTTGAAGCTTTCCAGTCTCGGGCAGGTTAAGCAGAGAGCACCTGAAAAAATGTTTATATAAGGACCCACATTACTAGATTTGATGAGAGCTTAGCTTAGCCTGAAGTTTCGATATCTTTTCCATGATCTTCTGAGAGATTCCTCTTTAATCTTCTCAACCAAATATCGTAATCCAAAGGATATGGTGTCCCACATAGACTGTCAACGTAGTCAGAAAATGCTTTTAAAATGGTCGAGACATCACCTAGCTTCTGCTGTATCAATCTTTTGGACCAAGAGGTCTCTCTCCATTGAAGAGCTCCTTCAACAGAATCCAAATCAGGCAAGTCTCCAGAACAGAAATAAAGCATGTAAATCAAGCTCTCTGCATCTGAGGCAGCACAAAGTTTCCCTTCCTGGAGTGCGTAAGTGGAGGAGAAGTGAAGATTCATCGCTGGTCTATCTCTGTCTTCAAGCACCGCGTGACCCCAACCAATGAGTACAAAGTAAGGATGTCTTACACCAGAAGTGACATAAACTACATTCTCTGGTCGGATATCACCGTGGCGAATACCAGCTGAAGAGGAGGAAGATAGTGCAGATAAACAATCATGACAACATCTGATAGCTTCTTCTGGTCCAAACCTGCCTTCATTCACCAAATCAGCTACTGTCTCCCCAACGGGAGTAGTCACAAGAATGGGAGTTCCACACCAAGGATGATCACAACGTCCACCTGAACTTGGTTTCTGACATTGTCCTGGGTGTATGATCCGACCAGACCCATGGAGCTGTGGCAAGTACTTGCTAGAAAGTCCTCTCTGTTTCATAACGCTTAATATTTTAGTCTGTCTTTGTACCTGGTACCATAAGTTCATGTCTTCCCAAGCTGGCTCAAGCTGTGAAGGAGGAGAACCAACATAGAGAAACACAGACTTCCCTGAGTCATCCACTGGTGATGCGATACAATAAGGAAGAGTTCCATTAGTCAACACTTGGTTAATCTGATAGCCTTTTTGATAGTTTGAATCCTCCAACCACAGAACTGATCCAACTTCCAGTTTCATAGACCCTTCAGGCTCAATATTGGTTGATTCTTCATGAACTTCGACGATTTCAGGAGACATGGTTCTTTGCTGGAACCTAAACATACCTTCTTCACTGAGACTAGTCTCCCCCAAGTGCCTCTCCTGTCGTCTTGAGTGAAGGCGAGAGCTATGGTCAGCAGCTAAGTCTTCAATGGAGTGCCTAGGTGGCCCAAAATACTGCATTATACTGTGGTAAGTTGCAAAGACTATCTGCAAAGCACCAATGTCTCCCCAGTTTGCATTCCCCAGCTTGTTCCATATCCTGTCAACAGGCGACACTGAGATCTTTGAATGCCTCTGCACCCATTCCGCAGCGCAGTCATAAACATTGTTCACGTCGAAATCAAGTTTACTCACGTCCCCTTCAACTCTCACAACCCCACCGTGTTGTGTATCAACGAGAAGGATGAAGACACAGTTTGAGCTTTGTGAGAAATCTAAACGGCTCACACTTCTTGCAATGAGTATACGTAGAGCATAGAAAAGAGCCTCTCCTAAGACATGTAACGAAGGCTGATGATCACTCTCAATGTCAGGCCTTAGAAGAGCAAGCTCAAGAATGTGATCCCACTTCCCGTGTGGATGACGTGGATTTTTCAGGAGAACACCAGTTGCAGAAAGATCTTCGAGCTTCCCAAGAGCTAAAGCTTGCTCAGCTTGATAAAACTTCAGATTCTGATTATACAAACAACCCACAGAGAAAGGAACAGGCTCGTCCAGACTCCAAAACGCCTCCCAAAGGCTCTTAACAGTAGCGTGTAAAAAATCCTCTATCGCTAGATACGCATTTGCCTCAACAGAAGCAGAGGTTGAAGCATAAACAGCGTTAGGCATCCGAGTTAGCTGCTGGAAAGAAACTCCTTCCAACGCGTAATCAAACTTTTGTAGCTCCACAAGCTCAAAAGGAGCCTCGAAAACCGGTCCATCCCTCTCTGAGTTCTGTAGTAACAAAGCATACCAATCTTCAAGCTTGTCAGTGAAATGCTCGCTGTCAGTAAACCTGGTGAGGAAATCTCGTCGGACACGAGAACGACTTCCTGATGAAACGCTTGATCGTTTTGTAGTTGTACCAGACCCAGTAGATTCAAGGTCTGGAGATTTACCTGTAAGAGGAAATGATTTCAAAAAGGTTTTAATAACAATCATTACAGAACCTAGCCACTTTCTTTGCAATAACAGAGAAGAGAACAAATCTAAAGCAGGTAGTGAGAATGAAGAATCAATACAGATATAACATCCTCTAATCAATCATTACAGAACCTGCCACTGTCTTCTTTGCTATAAATCTTTCTATTACAGAGAACAGTCTTAGGGTCTGAACAGTAACATACGGTTCTAATAGTAACAAAAACCTATTGATACATATGTATATATACAAAATTTTGTTACTATTAACTTATTCGTGTAATGGGACGAAATGGAACAAATCTAAAGCAGATAGTGAGAATGAAGAATCAATAAAGCTTTCAAATTTTGAAGTTAAATAGGGCACTGTCACAAAGTAAAATTCAATTCAATATAAAGTTGAGGTCTTTCTCAAGTCTATCATATCACTAAAGCTAGTGCTGATTCGAAGTAAAAGACAAGAGTAAGGATGAATCAAACAGTGTAAGACCTAGTTCTAGAGGATCAAATTCAATGCCAAAGCGAGAGAGAATTGGGGAAAGCTAGGGTTTTTATTTACTCAGATGGGTAACGAGAATGAGATCTGATAATGAAGAAAGTAAGAACCTTTCATTACAGAAGATGAAGATCTTCAACTTCTTCTTTCGTCTTCTAGTCTCTGCTGCTGCTCTCTCTAGCTACCAGTTTCTTCGTTTCAGTATTCTACCTAAAGCCTCGCTGACCTGTCTTCTCTTTTTTTATCGTTCCTAAAACTCTTTCTTTGGTTTATATGTTTTTATTTGTTTTTTTAATTATAAAGACAGGTCAAAAGTACGAAACGCTAAACCATTATTAATTACTATTAGATTAAAGTAGGGGGACGTTGAAAGACTGCGGTCTTGCTGTACCTTCAATATATAGTCTCCAACTTTATTTATTGGAAAAATTGGCATAATGAATTTTAGCATTATTA